TAATTGTATTTGCCTAAATGATGTCTACTGTACAAAGCTCGAAAAGGGAATCAGGATCATGTCTTCCTTTAACTTTATTTCTACTCCCATAGCCTTGATTGCAGCCGTGTTAAACATCTTGATCACATATTGTGTTTTTATCAGTCATTCGCAATTTAGGAATTCCCTTTGACACATTTTTGTGGTCTGGCGCAGCTCTAGCTCTCTCTGTGGGGACTATCAGGTATTTAAGGCACGTGTTGTTTTTACTATTTCTTTACAACATAGGCATGAGGTAATTTTTTAAACAATTCTGAAGGTATTTGTTGATACTGGGAGCTCAGTCACATATGGACTGTGTTTTTTAGTGTTTAGCCAATGGAGGAGGCTTTGGAGTAAAGTTCATTACATCAAACGTGAGCTGAAGCAGAGCCAGATCTCCCATAATTTATGTGTGAGGCCATTCAGAAGCAGCACTGTTGTTATGAGATCATCTTTCTACATTAAGCCAGAGCAGAGTGAAGTCAGAGCATCCAACTGGTATTTATATGCGACTTGGGATGGTTAAGGGACCAGAAGGCATGTAGAAGTTCCTGATAAGGTCCTCTTGCATATAAATGCATGCACAAACACACATGTACTCAAAATGACGGATGTCCAGCAAGAGTCCGTTTAGTAGTTTAATGGTTTGTAAAAATATTAAAAAGCTTAGTGTATTTCTCCTATGCAATATTTCCCACTTTCATTACAGTTTCCATGTTACTTCCCGTTAAATATAATCAACAGGGTTGAAATGGTGTGAGGAAATTGGTAAATGTTAATATGCTGGCCTGATGGGAACTAAATGATTGATTTTGAAACATGACAAATAAAAAGAGCAACTAAAGAAATGATTTACCTTTACTTTTGAGTCATCTGGCAGTTTATGAGTGGCATAGTTTCTTAACTTTAATCTAAGTAATCATTAGGTGCACAATAGTTATAATGTCCAGAGCGGTGATTACCCTGACCTCAGCTCAGGAAAAGCATGGGTGACTGACGCCCTGAAGGAGTTGTCAGGAATCCTTGACTTACTACCAACATGTTTCTGAGCTGTTTAGTGTCACTGAGAGCATTAGACCGTCATAAATTCCTCCAAATTGCTTAAAAGGGTGTGTTTACATTCCACAGCCAACTTAAGGTCACACATATAAATCATTAAAAACAAAATAAAGCTTAAGGGCCCTGACACGGTAAGCCGACAGTGTGGCTGACCGTCGCCTGTTGTTTTTTTCTCTGTGTCCAGCAACGGTGGCTCAGGTCGCTCCTTGACAGCTTGAGTATGTTTGCATCGAGCAATGTAGTTAGTCAGCGCCACTTAAAGGTTATATATTCATACGAAATTCACTTGCCTTCTTTAGCCTTTCCACAATGTTGCCAACAATCACATGATTGAAATAAAGCTTTAATTCACTGTGATAGATGTGAAAATATTTATGAAAAGGGCTGCAATGGCCGCAACTTAAGATAACATTAATCCTTGTGGACAAATGTGTCCGTCAAAGTACGTCCACACTTTTTACCACTGACAGGCTCAGACTGTGAAGTGTCTGAAAACCTTAAGGAAAGGATCCCGATAGAGATAGACCTTTTGTTTATCTAACAACAGATGTAATGTCGCTATTTCTCGCCGGACTCCATAAACACAAACAATAATTTTATCTCGCGTATCATTGTAACATCATAACTTCATTCAAAGTCGACAGAAACAAAAAAACAAAACTTAGTCTTTCCACTGTTTCAACAGTCACCAACTCTTCTTTGGTCTGAATAAATACACAGGTGAGCAGAACAGCAGTTACTCAGCTGCACACTGAGCAGACGGACTGTGTACAACCAGAGAGAGGCTGCGATAGCAACACAGCCGGAGCAAGTGGGACGCCATAATCTGCTATATTAATGTTCTAAATCTCATATATATAACCTTTAAATCAGTCCAAAGTCTATGGATAAATCATACTCCAGTGCTTGAGGAGTGACCGCCGTCAGTGTTCTCACTCTCCAAATAAAAGACGAAGACAGGGCTTCCTAACCTGGTTGTCGGGAACCTCTGAGGTGTTACAAGAAGAATCGAATCTAATGAACCATCTAACTCTAAAATACACATGTATGCATAAATTAACCAAAGTAATACCTGCAGTTGAGTATTTTTGATTGAATAGTGCTACAGAAGTTTCCTAGCAAACATTGTAAAAGTCTTTATTCAGTTTTAATGGTTCAACCAAGTTTAGTAAATCAATAATAAGAAATTGTCGAGTTACTAAGGACTTTGGAAGGAAACAAACTTAGAAATGGAATTACGAATAGCTGATGCAACCCATCAATATGGTCCTGGAGGGTAAATTTACCTGATTGAACTAAATAGTCAGACATATTGGAATAGTAGACTTTGTATTGCCAAGATTTCGGTTTTTGTTAACTTAATGTAAAAAAACTTAATAACGCAAGCTACAAAAACAAAATGTCTCTTTTTTTTACTACATTAGTACACTACATGTACTGCATCTACATTTCTGTCAGTTATCCCATAATATACTGTTTCTGAAGTCAAGGTAACTATGTGATTACACATGGCGACTGAACCCTGTCAACCCTGCTCACCCATCCCCCAGGGAGGCATGCACACGGTTCGGTGTGTTATCACTAGAAGAGGCCGCGAGGCTACATGACCAGCTAACAGGCAGTCACACACACCATGAGCTAACACGCAGTTCATGAAATGCATTCTCCGAAGCTGACACACAGCTTCTGTGTTGAGTGAAGATATAAAAAGTGGAACCGGTGGTGTGTTAATGCATGTGATGTTTCTTGAATCTGTCTTTTGGAAACCGTTGGTCAAGCAGTCACATGGCCTGATATCACAAAGAGTGATGATTTATTTTGTAATTTATTTCCACACTTTAGAGAGGAAGTATATCCTAAATGTGAGGGCAGCAGTTGTTGCCTCTCAAATGTGGTTCTAGGGAGGGGGTGTGTGCCTGTGTGTGTGTTTGTTGGTGTGTATGTGTGTGTGTCATGCCTGCATGACAAGCAAATGGCAGCCACAGTGTCAGGTTGTGCAGAGCCCCACACCCTTTTCATCTCCGTCCAGCTGTCCTCTCTTCCTGTCTTCCCCATTTGTAGGGCTGCGCCTAGGTGACACACAAACACACACACAAACACAAACACACAAAGAGAGACAATTCACAGCTATCCACAAACACATCTGATGCTACAAATCATGATTT